TAATGACCTTTATCACAATATGCTAATTTTTTGAGAAGGACCTGTACTGGAACTAGCTGATAGTGAAGCTGGTCTCGTTTCAGCTTCATTTTCCAAATTCTGGTCTGAGGTGTACCTTTGGTCTCAAACCCTTTTTGATTTTGTAGTGGGTATCACCAGCATGTCTCCAGTTGTATTTTGACACCTGCACAAGCACTCTAATCAGAATCAAGTTTTTCTGGAGCCAAAGATATGCTGTATTTGGTGAAATTTACATTCTGGAAATATGAAGAGCAGAGTTCGGCTCCTCTCACTCCTTTGGTGTTACCTGCAGTGGGTTCTTGGTGCTGATGGCCAGGACCTGGTACTTGAAGTAGCAGAGCTCACAACTCCAGGAGCCCCTCTCACTTATCCAGCGGATTAGGCAGGGCTGATGGGTGCAGCGTACAGAGCCATCACAGCGACAAGGGCTCAACAGCTCTCCCTGCAGGACAGACAATAAAAACAAGTTAGTGTTCATATTCCATAACCCAAACCTGAAAATAGACCATATATATATCTAGATCTCTGACCAGAATCTAAATGTTGTATCTAGAACTGTAGGCTCAGACTGTGGAAGGACAAACTGATCATGTCTCCTCACTCTGCTGCTGTCTTTAGTCACTCTACTGATCATGTTTGCATTTTCAATCAACAACTTATTTTTTGTCTTTCTTCCGGTACACTAAGACCAGTCATTTTGTTTGTTTGTTTGTTTGAGGTCTTGTCCTCTTTAATCCTTGCAGATCGAGACAGATGGCTGCCCATCCTGAGCCTGGTTCGGCTGGAGGTCTCATCGATTCTTGGAACCCTTCTGTTCTCACTTTATTTGCTCCCACTGGGGTCCATCCTGAGGAAACAAGGTCTTTCATTCCACTGCTATGCTGATGACTGCCAGATCTACCTGCCTGTGAAACCAGCAAGCGTTTGCTCCATTCACCCTCTGTTAAAACGTCTGGATGACATTAAGGCCTGGATGGCTTCAAATTTCTTAAGTTTTAACAATGACAAGACTGAAGTCATTGTTTTTAGCCCTAGCTCAACTGCCACCACTGATCCTGTCAACCTGGACTCTCTTCAGCCATATCTGAAGCAGTCTGGTAAAAATCTTGAGATGGTTTTAGACTCTGACTTCAAGTTTGACAAACAAATCAACTCTGTTCTGCAGAAAAGCTTCTTCCAACTCAGACAGGTAGCTAAGCTCAAGCCAGTGTTGTCCAGACTCGACCTTGAGAAACTAGTCCACGCCTTTGTCACAACCCGATTGGACTATTGCAATGCACTGTATGCTGGGATCAGCCAGGCCTCCATCTCACGTCTTCAGCTCGTCCAGAATGCTGCTGCTCGGCTTTTAACTAGGTCTGAACATATTACTCCAGTTCTGTCCTCCCTTCACTGGCTCCCTGTTTGTACGAGGATAGTTTTTAAAATTCTTCTGTTGACCTTCAAATGCTTAAATGGCCTCGCACCCCTTTACCTCTCTGAGCTACTGGAACCTTACGTTCCCTCTCGGGGCCTGAAATCATCTGATCAGCTGCTTTTGGCTGTTCCAAAAACAAGAAGCTCAGAGGAGATCGGGCTTTTTCAGTCATGGGCCCCAAACTCTGGAACAACCTGCCCCCCAACATAAGGCAGGCCACCTCCCTTCAACCTGCCCCCCCAACATCAGGCAGGCCACCTCCCTTCAACCTGCCCCCCAACATCAGGCAGGCCACCTCCCTTCAACCTGCCCCCCAACATGAGGCAGGCCACCTCCCTTCAACCTGCCCCCCAACATCAGGCAGGCCACCTCCCTTCAACCTGCCCCCCAACATGAGGCAGGCCACCTCCCTTCAACCTGCCCCCCAACATCAGGCAGGCCACCTCCCTT